TAAGCTATATATGCATTTGAAAAAAAATAATTTATTCATTTTATATAATTAAGAATATTAATTAATTTATTATTATTTTTATCTTATAATTTATTTTAAGATATTTAATCTTAAAAATAAATATAATTTATCAATATCTAAGAAATTATTACATTTCAAAGATGTTTTTATTTTTCTTTCAAAATTATACTATCTAGTACCTTTGACTTTTAATACTAAATCAAAAATAAAAAATATTTTCATATATTTTAAATTGTTCAAATTTACTTTAAAATGTGGTAATTATTTTATTTACAATGTATAAAAAATAATCAATTTAAAATAATTTTTCAGGAGATTATATAATTTCATTCTCAATAATTTCATGAAATTATTTCTTTATACAGCTAATATGTTTTTTTAATGAAATTTAGGCTCTATATCCATTTCAAAAGTAATTTTTTTGATAAAAGTTAATTCATTTTTAAATCTATTTTTCTATACCTTTTAAAAAATAAAAGAAGACCTTTTAATTGTTCAATTGCATCATCAATACACATATTTTTTTGTCGCAATCAGGCAGTCACAATGGTACGGTAAAAATGTGGTTAAAAAAAATATCTTTTAAGAATAAAAACGTTTCCTAAAAAAATCAGAAAAGTCGCCACCAAAGTTTATTAAAGAAAACATTAAAAAAATTTTGAAAATTGATCTTTGAAACAAAAAATAAGTCAAGAAGTCATTTACATATAGGAAAGGTATTAGCATCCTACAACGTCTATTTTTTTAAAAAAAGTTACCTTAAATTAATTGTGTAAAATTTATTTTAATTTTGAAAAATATTTATTTAACCCCTAAACAATAATTATTATTATTATTTTATTTTAAAAGAAGAAAAATCATTTATTAAAATGTTGATGGATACCTTAAAAAATATTATTTTGACTTGACGGGTCTGATTTCCTCTCCTACGTATCCCCGAGTGTAATAGAAAACTCAAAACCACGTAATTCTATATAAAAATTGCAAAGTTGGTTGATTAAAACTAAACTTAGTAAAAGAAAATTTGTTTTGAGATTAAAATTATTTTCATAAAATTATAATGTTTAGGATACAAGATAACGCGGTTATACATGTATCCTACGAGAAACAATATAGAGGATGAAGGAAGATCACACAATTATATTGTAAATCGTTAAAAATATTTTATTTGTAAATGAAGTATTTGGATTTTAATTTTGATTATAATTAATGTTAAAAGAGAATTTAAGATAGCGTAAGTTACACATAAATCTTTTATAATTTTTAGACAATTAAAGGTAATGTAAATCACACATCGATATTATAAAAATAAAATAAAATAAAAAATCAAATATTTAGTTATTTAAATTATCAAAATTAGCAATATAACTTAAAAAAAAATTATATATGAAATTAATTCTATTTAATAAAAAGATTAAATATATTTTAATAAAAAAGTTTATTATTATTTAATTAAAGGATTAAACTTCTTTTGATAAATTTATAATACATAGAACCTAAAATAATGTTAATACACAAAGGTTTTATCAATTTATAGCACATAGCGGTAGAGTAGTTACACGTTAATGTTATAAATAGATACAAATATTTTATTATTTATTTATTTAATATTAAATTTCATCATCAAATATTTAAAATTATATAATATGATAAAAGATAATAATATTAAATAATATAAATAAATTATTGAAATGCAAATAGTAGAATAATAAAAAAATTAGGATTAAATCAATTATAATTATTTTTTATTATTATTCTAATTACTATTTTTTTAAAAAAATAAAAAAAATATATAAATGAGATTAAGGGAACTGAATAAAAAAAAAAAAAGAATGAAATATTTTATTTAACATAAATGAAATATGAGATAGATAAACATTTTCGGATAAAAGATGAGTAAAAAGTAATAATAGAAAAAGAAAAAAAATAATCTTGATTAATAAATAATAATAATATTAATATATATATATATATATAAAAGAAAAATAAAGTCAAGTTGGTCTCATATTTCTCTGTTTCCCCGTTCTTTACCATATACCTATTATAAAATATATAAAAAATGAAAAAGAAAAAGGCATGATTTCATTGATTTGAAAGGCTTACTTTATGTGTGTGTATAGCATATCCAGTGTAGGTATCGGGTGAATATTGCAGTGTCTCCAGCCTTGCACTTTTGTTTACGTTAAATTAAATAAATAAATAAATAAATAAATAAAAATATAAATAATGGTATATGTAAGTTTAGCTTCTTTCTTTATCTTATTTCACATATCCACACCCAGCAAAAAATTATATAGCTAACTCTACTTTCTCAGCTTTCTCGTTTTATCTTAGATTCACGTTCATTAAGCAAACTTTTCAAACCTTGCAGCCAGAAAACAATACAAGCGATACTCACAATGAAGAAAAGAAATACTTGGTAGTGGTGAGATAATAGAAATAATATTTTTCCTTCTCCTCTTTAACTTTTGATCCATATTTTCTTCTTCTTCTTAATATTCTTCCACTCTTGATTTTTAAACCCTCTCTAATAACCTTGCTTTCTTGATTTTTCATTCCCTCTAAAAATTGTTCTCTCCTCTCTGGAAAATTTTTGCTTTCTTTTTTAGAAGAAAAAACCATCCTTCTAAATTTTTTACTTTGGATTTTATGCTGGTCATTTAGGATTTTGTACAAAACACAAAAAATCTTAAGATTTCCTTTTCCATACTTAAAAATGATTGTTAATGTTGAGGTATAAGCCTGTACAATGCAGGGCTTTCGTTTCCAGAACCAATCTTTTTTTTTTCAAAAATTGTCTATTTTTCTATAAAATTTTATTATTTTATTTTTATATATTTTTTAAAAAGATTAGAGGCAATCCCTTGAAAGAAAAATGATTGGTAATCACATTTTATATTATAAATTTTTATTAACCAAATTAACTGCAAATAATCTTTCATACTAAATAATCATTTCTAACAAAAAAATTAAAAATTTCAAGATGATTTAGTTGTTAAACAATTAGCTTCATTTTTATTTTAAGATAATCACTAAGTTTGAAATTTTATAATTTTCTAATTTTCAATATGACTTTTTCAACGTGTTTATAAAAATTATTTAAGAATTAAGTTATGTATATGATCTTGTAATATTTTTATATAAAATTAAAAATTATAATATATAAAGTATTGAATATATAACTAAGTTAAAATAATAAAAGTTAATTGTCAACAAAATGAACTTAATTATCTTATTTTGATATCTCGATTTATCCTTTGATAAATATCTATGTTTAATTTTCAAATTTTGATGCTTTTTTTTTTAACTTATACAAATTATTTTAAAATTAATAAAATAAAAAATAGACTTAGTTTGAGATCAATCTCTCAATTAAAGAATATACCAACAAAATACATCAACAAATAATAATTTTTAAATTTTTAACTTTTATGGTCTTACCTTCAACATACTCAAAAGAAATATATCAAATGTTAATATTGACAATAAACTAGCTTCTTTCACCGCTTTAAATAAAAACAAATAGTAATATAATTATAAAAGATAAGAAAAAAATAACTGGATATTAACTAATGACATTCAAATTAAATATTAAATTAAAGAAAAATTTAATAAAAATTAAAAGAGTAGAGAATAGTAAAAAAAAAAAAAAAAATAGATGTAAGAAGAATATGATTAATATTAAAAAATTATTTTTTGGGGACCTAAGCTGCTTGGGCTTCACCAATGAAGGGTGATAGTATGATAGTTTTTTTTCAAAGAAAAATGCTTTTGCAAAATGTTTTATAAGCTTTTTATGTTTTTTCAAAAGCTACAGTTTTTTAGCTTATGAAGAAAGAAAATGATTTTTTTTATTTTTCTAATTATTGTAAATCTTTTATGTTTTTTCAATCAAACACTTTTTTATATAATAAAAAAACAAACAACACGTGTTAAAATAATTAGACCAATTTCAACTTGATACCAAGAAGTTGATGATTGTGTTGAAGCCATACCACAATTAGCTAGTAAAAATGAAATTCCGTGTCTTATAAAGGTCAAAACCAAGTCAGGGCCCCTCATTTGAACGTTTCCAACGACAGAAAATTGATTACAAAAAAAATAAAATAAAATCGATTGCAACAAAAATGTCTCATCATTAAATGTTTTCAATTATCAAATGTGATATTTAACTCCACCGGCAAATTGAGATGTCACTAATGGTATATGCATATGTCTGCATAAGTTCCTTCAAAGCATTGCGTGAGTGGTGCTACTCTCAAATGAGAAAACTCCTCCGGTACCACATTCCACATTCTTTTATATCGATGAACCCCAGAGGCATTCCAACTATAATGTCATCAAGGTCATCTTTATTATGTCTAATGGTGTTCTGTCATCATAACCCAAAAATACATTCTATTTCCACATCAACCATATGAGAAAACCAGTGGGAGAACTATTTGATTGTTAAATTAACATGGGTTAAAGAAAATTATCGTTTTGAAGAACACCGTCATAACTTTGCCGTCCGGGTCATCATAATCAAAATTGTCATATTAAAGAACTCCAAACGCCCAGACAAATAAGGAAAAGAACCCAGTTGCTGTTGTGTCATCAGGGTATGTGCTTTTATAGGCGCAGGGTATATTTAGAGGATGTTGCGGTTGCACGTGAGAAAAGATGCTCTAGGCGGTTGATAATAAATAAGAGGTGAAATAACATTAAGAGTTACGTATGCCATAAATTTGCCCATGGAGATTGTTAGGAGTTCGGAGAGAGGGAAGGCACAAGTTGTTTAGGATAGTTAATGTAGTTATTAGTTAATTAGAAGGGGTAAGATAAAAGATGTATGTGAAAAGGCATTCACATCTATTATCACTTGAAAATTGAGTATTAGTTCTTTGTAAAAGGAGCAATCCTTTGTGAAAGAGAAACCTCTGAAGGAGAGCTCTCTCTCTCTCTCTCTCTCTCTCTCCTTTGTACTCATGTTGGAATCAATCAAAGAAATATATTTTTCTTTCCCCTTCTCTATTTTCTAATTCAAGTATCTAACACAGTAATCACAACAATAATTATCATAAGCAAATTGCCATCCGCTAGATAGTAGATAGCAAGTGATGAAATAAATCCTTTAGTAGGGCAGGAAAATTACAGCAAGAAAGAAGACGAAATCTTCTAAGAGGTTATGGATGGGACCTTATACAGTACGAATAATATTCTTTATATAAAGAAAATTGGCATCAATGTTTTCATGTTTCTAAAAAAGAACTCTCACATACATCCCTACAACTGACTCTCTTTCTTTGACCATACCATATCACTCATTTTTCTTGTTTTGTTTAAGCATTTGCTCAACTTGCCCACTATATGGTGCAGCATGATAAGCATACTGTTGAAGAACAGAAAAGATAACCATCTCTAGACATACCAAAATATTCTGCATCGCTTCCTCAATATGCTCCACATCTAACTTCAAATGACGAGATTGAAGGATGCCCATTGCTGCTAAGAAGTCCAGCAACATTCCCTGCATATGACCATAGAAAATTCGTTAATTTCATGATAACAGCCCTAGGTAATGATACCGTTGTACATGAAGGATAACATGCAAAGAATTGAAGGTAAAGGTAAAAGGCAAACTGATGAATCAAGCAAACTGAAGGACAAAGTTATAAATCCATATTGCAAAATGTAACTGGCAAATCAAGAAAAGGAAAGACCCCTACGTCAAACAATTCTTGACAGAAAGTAACTGATAGGATACTGAACATCAAAATCCAAAGCTGTGTAGTGTTCAAAATTTGAGGCAAAAGTTAAGACCCTTAATTCTTAAGAATATCACAAAAAATTCACAAAACTGTTAGAGTTTTGAGTTTTGACTTGTCATAAGTAGTAGACAACCTCTGCAGAAATTGAAGTTAATTAAGTTAAATGATTTACTAATTTTATCCTTTGTCATCACTGGTCCCAGAGAGCTTGAGACCATGCAAATTGACTCTATCGGTAAATGACTTTGCCTCTTCATTTAATGTAAATATTCCCCCAAACTACAACACAATAGGAGTTTATGTTGCAAAAATAATAAACTTTAGTTCGATCGAATGTTTTTACAAAACAACCAAGCCTTTTTCTACTAGGTGGAGCTAGCTACAAGTATTAAATAACATCATAATGTCATATAATATAAATCAATTTTATAGACAAAGTGTCAAACTATTGACTTCAAAATTCTTCTTAATTGTTTCACCTATAGTATTCTTTTTTATATTTCCCTCTACCTCTAACACCATAATCCAGTAATCCACTACTATTTTTGTGTGTGTGTGAGCTCTAAATCTTTTCTACAAGGTCATTGAACTCAGCTAGCCTGAATACCATATAAAGGATGATAAAGTTCACCTGCCAAAAGCAGAAGAAAACAATTCCTTTGATGCATAGGAACTTCGCTAGAGGTTTGTGTGGTGCCAGTTCTTTTGCAAACACATGGTAAAAGACCACCAGAGAATACAAGGCCAACGACACAGAAATGTTGAGAATGGCAGTGAATATCCAGCTCAACCAAGTTGGATACAGTCCAAGTAGCTGTAATATAATCATCAAAATGGAACACACTGGGCGGATGACAACAAACTGCCATGTCCAATATTTTAGAAGCTTCAGAGTATGGTGGTTCAGCCGAACAGTATGAGGCTGCAGAAGATAAATTAACACTATTGTTAATACCATGACATCACCAACACATCATATGCATCCATGACCATTCACAAAAGTTGTGTGGATACTCATTCAACCATAAATTCACCACAATTCTAAGTGTGCAGAAGCAGGCCTTACCTGAAAGAGTGTCATTGGAAAAGAGTGGTGAATTTCCCTGCCTTTAATTTCATCGGGTACAATGTTTCTACTAATAGATATGTTCAAGTAACTATACATCAAAGCCAAAAACTTGGCAATGACGAGAGCTTCATAACATTCTTTAACAGACTCCAAAAAGGTGAAAAACTCCTTGCTTCCTCTAATATCCAACAGACCCACAAAGGAGACAAGTGCATAGAGAGGAGCCATAAGGATGATAATGAGAATAGCCTTTTGCTCTTTTGGGTTCTTCCAATAGAAGAGATGCTGAGAAAGTAACTGCGTTGTGAAATGCATGGAAAGCATAACACAAAACGCAGATCCCAGCACAGTAATCTGTCCAGGATTTAGTGCACTTAGATCCATTATTAATCTTAAAACCTGCACAACAAATTCAGATATAGATCAATCATCAAACTAACCCCAAAGAAAAAACCTGGGACCACTCTAATTTCGCCAACAAGACCAAACCATGTTTGTTTGATAACAACCTAGTTCCTCTCGAAATTCACGTACATAAGGATCACTTTGATTTGGAAAAAAAAAATAGACAAGTTTCCGGTTCGGAAAAGAAGTAAAAAGCAATTTTGATTTATGATAAACCAAAGGGACAAGGAAAAATGGCACTTCAATGAAACTCACCTTAATCGACGCGGCCTGAATAGTTTGACTCGAGCTTCCTTCAATGGCATGGAAGTGAAGAAAAGGTTTATTGAATGATAATTGTGTCAAAGTAAATTGAGATACGTGGCACCAAAAACATCTTGCCACGCTGCTATTGATTATTGTCAGCATCTTTGTGTGCTTCTTGAAATTTCTTACGCTTGATTTTATTTTATGTTATCGTGTATACGAAAATACAAAATAAAATGGCCTAAACTTAATTTAACATGGAGGATCCTTCTCATTTACGGATAATGTATTAGGTGAAAAAAAAAAACTAGTATCGTAAATATTAAATTAAATTATAAATTTAATTTCTATTCATAACATGTTTTTTAAATAAAAAGTTATAATTTAGTCCATGTATAAATATTTTTATATTAATCATTATCATTAAAAGCATGATAGCGACGTTAAATAAAAATACGAAAATATAAAAAAATAATTATATAAAAATTAAAATGTGACTAGATTAATTTATAAACAAGTATCAAGTATAAAAATTAAATATATACTTTAACAAATAATAAAAAAATTTAAAATTAATTTTACAAAATAAACAAAGTACTAAATGAAAAATTTACAAAATTTTAAGAGACTAGAAATATATTTAAGTAAACTTATATTTAATGATATCTCACATCTCAAAAATTATAATTTTTTTAAATATTCTATGAAAATTAATATACAATAAAAATTTTAATGTTAATACTTGATTTATTCATTTGAAGATAAAATAAGAGATAAAAATAAAAAAATATTAATTCTAACTTTTAAAAGTAAATTTAAACAACTAATTATAGTAAGCTTTTATTGAAATGAAAAATATTTATTTACACTTTTATAAATTTAATATAATGCATGCATTTTCGTCAATAAAATTTTTTCATTTTAAATGTTAAAACTCAATTCAAATGATTAAGATTAAAAGAATATTATAAAATAAAATAATATTTTTTTCAGTCAATGATAAGTATATTTTGAATACAAGATTAACAAATTCAACACTAAGAACTCAAATTAATATTTTTTTTTTATTTTATATGTTTATCTTTTATTATACATTAAGAATGAATAAAGTATGAATATTAATATTTTGACTATAATTTTTATTGAAGATCAATTTTTATAAAATATATTTAAAAAGGACTTTTTTCTTAAAAAAATTAATATCTTTAGAATATGATATAAGCTTGCTTAAAGATATAACTTTTAGTTTTTAAATATTTTGTAATTTTTTCATTTGATACTTTATATTTTTTATTTAAATAAGTTTATAATTTTATTTTTATTTTTAGTTTGAATACATATTTGATTCTTATAGTTGATATTTATTTATAAATTAGTTTCTATATGTAAAATTTATGTTTTAGTTCATATTTATGAGTTACTAAAAAAATTTGAATTTTGAATTTTGTTACTTATGGTGATGAAACTAATGTAAAAAATAATGGTAAAGCTCTTTCAACCACGAGATGATTCAGGTTCCTAAACTTCTTTTCAAATTATTTTTCTTCCTTAAAGTGGAGCTTATAAGTGAGGGCAAAATCCGTTGTTGTTCTTAGTCATTTGGTGTATAAAAGGAAAAAAGAAGAAGTACCTTGAGTTCATTGAGATACTAGAAAAGCATGGCTTGTTATACACCAGGATTTTAAGGGAATACGACAAGACTGTCACTAAACAAGAGTTTAATATATGTTACATTTAGAGATGAGAAAACATTGCTTGATGACATAATTTATTATTGTCTCGACGCATTAGAGGAGGAATTTGTTGTTATTCCTTAACAAAAAAGGAGACCTTTTCTTCATAGATAATTAAGTGGCACTTTATTCCAAAACATCATTTGATTGACTTCACAGGTTTTTAACTGTAAATCATATATCATATTGATATAGTGGTAGATTAATTTTTAAATTAATAATTAGTTTTACTACTATAAGATGTGAAACTCAATTAAAAAACTAGTTTTACTGTTATTATTAGCAAAACTCTATCTGCGTGACATGTGTCATTGAGAGGAAGTTTCGCCCGTAACAGTGACAAAACTTAAGTTAAAAATATGTTTGGTCAGTGTAAATGATGAAATTGGTGATGGTGTGTCTAAAAATACTCCAAACAAGAAAATTATTTTGATAAAATTATATTTTAATAAATAGTTTATAAAAAAAATATATTAAAATAAAAAAGGCCCCAAAAGATCAGCAAAACAAGGGGTACAGCTCTTAAATGAAAACAGCCTCGTGCTTGAATTGATGATGCTGGAAATGTCAGAAAAGAAAAGGAACAAGATCATGCTTATTACGAACATATTGGTGAAAATAGTACACAAGGCAAAATGAAGAAACGTGTGAAATTTTCAAGGGATGAGAGGGCTGTAACTTGTAAGACCGATATTTTTACCTGTGAGATATTGGCAATGCTTATTATGATTTCTCTCACAAATAACAAGCTTACTTTTTGTTAACAAACTTATAAATATTTAAATACAATGGAATAATTTATAGAATTACTATTCGTGGATGAAGGTAACGTATAAATGCCAATGAAAATCAAGAGAAAACATAAATTATAACGAGTGTACGTGGCGGCCAAAATAATCATTGGAAGAACTACCAACTTGATCTGACACCATTGGCACCTCTAAGAAATAAGTTTGCATTATTTGCTTGGCAGCAGGTTCATCCCACTCAAGTGAATCCCACCAATATTTTGTTCCTCTAATTTCCAAAGCAGGTGGTACCAATAGTTGCTGGTTAAAGCAGCCTACTGCATCATCCAGATCAAAAGGTAACCTCCTGAGTGCATCACAAGAAATCACATGAACACAACAAAGAGAACCTAAACTGATGAACCCACTATATATATTCTTTAATTTAGGCATAAATTCCAACCTCAACTTTTGTAACTTTGGCAAGAGAATTTTAGCTAAATGAATATTGTCTCCTCCTTCCCAACACATCAAGTCCTGCATACTGTTACAGTGACTGACTCTAATTTCTTCAAGATTTACTAGTTGGAGCAAGAGGGTCCCTGATAATAGATTCTTCAAATTTGGACAGCACTCAACATTGATGATCTTTAGGCTCATAAGTGTAGATGGTGTCACTACTTCACTGCATATCGTCTGCAAATTTATCAAAAATCTCAGCACCAATGTCTCCAGAGTAGATAAATCATTCTTCCCCGGGTCAACAATGTTTTCTACACTGTAACAGCAAACTACTGTACATTTTCTAAGCTTCTCTACATGCAACAGGCAAGTTGTTAGCTCTGTAACATCAGAACAATCAATAAACTTCAACTCAGTAGTATTTGCTGGGATTAGAACTCCTCTTTTTGCAAGGGAAATCCCAAGAAATGCCACACTCCTTTTCTCTGAAACTTCTTGCAGCTCTCCGGGTCCAACATTAAACTTGAACTTGTCCAGCTGAACCCAGTGACCAGATCTAGTATATAGATCATAGAGGTCAAAATACCAGAAATCCACTTCAAGAGAAGATAAAGTTGAGGAGGATATGATTTCATCAATACTGATTTCAGGGCTGGTTGGTGGCAGTGGTATTTGAAAGACTAGAGCATTAGATGCCAATAACTCTTCCAGAAGAGTTAGTGTTGACAGCAAACCAGATGGCAGGATTTGAATCATGGTGTTGGAAATATTCAGCCTTCTCAGGTTGCCTAACTGTTCTGTTCCATGTGGAAGTTCTTTTATGTTACGGGAGCAAGAGAGATCTAAAGCCATTAACTTTATGAGTTTTGCTAAAGAAGGGATTGCTCTTAAGTTCCAGCAATTGCTCACTAACAAGGCACATAGATTCACCAAGTTAGAAACCGATCCAGGCAGGGAATCGATCCAGTGTAAGAGAGATCAAGAATTTTTAGGCTTTGTATGAAATCAAAGAAATTATATGGCATATTTTGAGCAAAAGAATTGTATTGCAATAACAAGGAAGTGACACCTGAACACACTGGAGGATTGCCAAGATAGATATTTTTCAAGTCATTTTTCATTAGTGATACCCTTTGAACATCTTCTATCCACTCATCAATATGTGGAGGTTTTGTCAGTCCACTGCCTGCTTTGACAATGCAGCGCCAACAAGGATCTGTTCTCATGATAGTAATGGCCATATCTCTTATTAAGTCATGCATTTTGACACATTCCACTGCATTTTCAGTGGCATTTTCCAACATGCATGCATATTTCAGTTCATTCAAAATTATTCTCCCCTTTTGTTTGCTTGCTGCTATGTTATCCATAGTACCTAGTATACCTTCCCACATCCAATATTCAATCAATTCATTTGTATCAATGTGATCACCTTCTGGGTACAGAGCACAGAAAAGAAAGCAAGATCTACTTGTGTCATCCTTCAATTTTGTGAAACTGAACTTTAAACGAGAAAAAACTGATTCTTCCATTTGTTCTATATTGACAGTTGAAGCTTTTAAAGCCATCAATGAAATCTCCCATTCTGAAATATCAGTTGCATTTCTCAAGGCACGCCCCACAGTAACAATACCAAGAGGCAAACCCATACATTCTTGTGCCACATGTTTTGCAAGTCTTTGTATATCTGGCGAGGCCAATGCCACATCTCCAACTTTGTCCCTGAAGAGATCCCAAGCTTCATTGTCTGCAAGAACCTTCACCTTCTCATCCCTATCTGTTTCCATGCCTCGGCAAACACTTAACTTTCGAGTAGTTATTAGTAATTTGCAACCATTCTCTATGGTTGGAATGGGTATTCCAACTCTTTCAAGAGAGAATGGTTCCCATAGATCATCTAGAATCAAGGCAAATCTTTTCCTTCTTTCAAAAGCTTCAAAGAGTGCAGCAGCTCTTGTAGTTTCATCCTGAAATCCTGAAAGATCCATATCAAACTTCTCAGCAATAATCTTTTGTAATTGCTCATGGATCATTTCCTTTGAAGCACTAACCCAAATAACACTATCAAAAAGTCTATTCTCTCTTAGTAGACTGTTGTTGATTTCAGTCATGATTGTGGTTTTTCCCACTCCTCCCATCCCATAAACACCAATTTTTCTCACTCTATCATCCATTATGTAGTTCCAAATTCTGTTTAAACTTATCATGGTTGATCCATGTTCCATCAACCTTGCAATGGGAAGAGGATGCCCTTTTCTGGGTGAAGTTTCAGCCAATGTATTATCATCAGCAAACTGACCCTTCTCTAGAACCTCTCTCACCTCGAAGATCTTTTTCTCAATAAGTTCCCCCAACTTCATCCTTGAACAAATATAAATTGGTGAGGGTCCATTTTGTTCAATTTTCCTGGTGAGTTCATTTATTTCACTTGCAATCTTATCAACATTTTTAAGCCACAGTTCTACTGCTGACTTGGGATTCATCCCCTTTTGAAGCCACATTTGATTTAGCTTGGTGCACACATCCACCTTCCGGGCATCTAACTCTTCCTTCAATGATTTGAGCTTGTTCAAGTTCCTTTTGGGTCTTCTAAGGTGCCTAATCTGATGGCCAAGAGATTCATGGAAACAGTTATGTGCACAGAGACAGCTCATTACACCCGCGACTGCTCCAATAATGTTAACAGCCATTTCTAACCCAATTTGTATCTAGTAGAGACACAATCAAACGATTTCCAGTAAGACTTAAAATGCAATGTGTGTACGTATGGTCAATATGAATAAAGAAAAGAATTACAATTTTTTTCACACAACTACAATATACAGTTTAAACTTGGGAGTTAGAAGAATCTATCACTCCATGCAAAAGAACCTCACCATCTAAATCGAACTACTGCTTGCTGCCTATTGAATGAATTGGAAAGACAGTAATTAATGACACATTGAAGAGAAAAGCATAATATTAATAATCAGTTTTCATCATAAAAGGGCCTTTAGACAAAGTTCTAAATAACAAGCAAGAGATAAATCTTTATGTTAAGCTCACCTGATTGGAATTGATCACCAACTGTAATGAACATCAAATGGAGAAATCTTTTGCTTAATGCTGCTTTTGAACAGTAGACGTTGATTTCAAAGTCTTAACGCGTGCACAATCAACGGAACACTACAAGAATTTACTGTCCCAGGGTAGACATTTGATGCCAGTAAGTAATTATTTTCAAAATCGTTATTTGGTAGTATATATTTTAATCTAAATTCAAAACGCGGACTTGCGGCAACCGTTTATCGGGCATAAAATTTCAATCCAGGATGGAATTTGACTGTAATTTTTTTTTGTCCCTTTCGGTTCTCTGCACCGACACTTGTCCAGTGACTAGAAAAGAGGCACAATTGATCGGCTTAATGAATTTTTTAATATTTTTTAATAACTATTTATTAAAATAAAATTAAAAATAACAAATTTTTGTCACATCAGATTATATTTTATATTTAAATAACATAAAATTAATTTTTTTATTTTTAATTAACTATTTTATCTAAAATAAAAACAAAACTAATTAAAACATGACACATGTCATGTGTTTCGTATTCAAAAAAAATAAAAAAAATAAAATAAAAACTTTAAATTTGCAGTTATGCGACGTGGAGAGACAAAAAAATAAATAAATTTTGTTAATAGAAAAAGAAAAAAAATAAATGAGTTGTGCTGTGTGAAAATGTAAAATCAGGCTTAATGATTTTTTTAATTTTTTAATAACTATTTAATAAAATAAAATTAAAAATAAACATTTTCTGTATGGGACAAATTTTTGTCACATTAGACTATGTTTTGTATTTAAGTGAGACAAAATTAATTTTTTATTTTTAATTTATTCATTTTTGCCTAAATTAGGGACGAAATCAATCTGAACATAACATGTGTCATGTGTTTCCTATATAATAGGGACAAAAAAGTAAAATAAAAATTTGAATTTAATTTCAGTCACGAGAAAATATTAAATGAGATTAGAGGTGCAGAGAAAGAAAAATAAATAAATTGTGTTAGTAGAAAAAGAGAGAAAAAATAATTCATGAGTTACGAAATACATAAATGCAAACTTAAATTCAAATTTTTTTTATTGGATACGAAACACATGACACATGTCACATTGATTTTGTTTCTATTTTAGACAAAATGAGTAAATTAAAAATTAAAAAAATTAATTTCATTTTTAACATGGCAAAAATTTACCTCAAATAAGGAATATGTTTATTTTAATTTTATTTTAGTAAATAGTTATTTAAAAATATTAAAAAATTCATTAAGCCCAATTGATCATGTGATAATGCATCATTTGGTATAAGTGACGATGTTGTTCTTCATTTCAATTTAACCTGTCACGACGTTTTTGCTTATTGTTGTTAAAACCATGCACCGGTGACAAAATAAAAGATAGCAATAACCTCCAGTAAAAATATATTTTACTGTAGTTTAGTTTCCTACTAAAGAAGCCAAAGCAAGTTTGAATATCTATCTTATTATGCTCAAGTGATGTATACAAGGGTGGCTTTCAGGGATGGCTCAATTGAACACAACACAAGTTCCCGAATTTGATTCTTGCTAGTGATTCCGATATATAAAAAGTCAGTCCCTTGCATAATTAGCATATCAATTGCCATAAACGGTGCAATTGTGGAAATGAACTTGCCATTTCAAATTTTTTAGCTGTAATTTTGAACCACAACCTTATTAGAATCCTGAGATCATAACAAAGAAGTTCAAACACAAATGATCCAAATGTATGTAAGACTTCAGTATTTATTACAATGTCATGGCACAAGCAATATCTTCCCAATATGCTGGCTACTTTCCATAAGTCGGTGAGCTTCTGCAGCTTCGGAAAGAGGGAAAGTTTTGTAGACCACAGGCTTAACCTTTCCTTCTGCAATTGCAGGCCAAACATTTTTCTCCACTTCACTAATAATCACAGCTTTATTTTCAGGAGTTCTATTACGCAAGCCAGCCGCTGCACAGCATCCACAATTGTCATGTTCAAGTACAGTTAGATCCTACCATGTTTTTACTTGCAGAGACAAACATTTTCAGGTAGAAACTAAATTCCACAAGAGCATATATTAAAAAGGGTATAATCCAAAATTCGTAATACCTTGAACATTAAGACGCTTGGCTAATAAAGGTCGGAGATCTACTTGTGTAGAAACCCCTCCTTGAAAGCCAATAATAAAGAGCCTTCCATCAAAATTCAAGCTATCAAGATTTCTTTGGTAGTAGGATGCTCCCATACAATCAAGAATAACATCAACACCTGCCACCACGCATCAATTACGTCGTTACATCATGCTTCTCTATAAAACCGATAAAAACACAAACATCAAGAGGAACTAAGAGCCTGTTTGAAAGAGCTTATAGACAATTTATGAAAATAGCTTACAATTCTCGTAAGCTTTTTTTTAACTTATTTCTATTAAGTTCTACATTTAAATTACGGCATATGTCATTATATAAAAATAGTTTGTTTAATTAGCGCTTAATTAAACTGTATATCCAAACACACCCTAAATAAATTATTCTATGAGTGGAATGCTGGCAAATTACATGACGCGACCTAGAGATAGTACCTTGACCATCAGTTTCTTCTTTCACCCTGGCAACAAAGTCTTGTGTTTTGTAATTGATGGCCACATCAGCCCCAATACTCTTGCAAAAAGCTAGTTTCTCCTCACTGCCTGTTAAGCAATATTTAAAATAAAATATGGGCAAAATTGCTTGGAATTTCAACAAACAAACTGGAATAGTATATAATTGAAAGCAAGTGAGTTTCACTAATCAATACAGGTAATCTTCAGTTCCGCTCTCTGTCTAAATATATGAAACGTGAGTGTATTGTTGGATAACATGAAAAATCAAGCATTAACGAACCTGCAGTAACAAAGACTCTTGCTCCGATATATTTAGCTATCTGAATTGCAAATGTACCAATTCCACTGGAACCTCCATGAATCTGAGAATTAACAGATTAAAGTAAAAATATCAAAATTCAAATTAACAGCACAGAGAAAAGGGCAAACAGATGGTATGATATGTTGATGAATCAAGAGTGATAACATACCAATAAGGTTTCTCCATGAGATAGACGACTCATCATAAAAACAGTAGACCAAACAGTGCATGCGACCTCAGGGAAACTAGCAGCATCCTGGAGAGAAACTCCAGGTGGAACGGGAAGAAGTTGACCAGCAGGAACAGCAACTTTCTGAGCATATCCACCACCGGCGAGAAGAGCGCAAACCTGATCGCCGATTTTCCACTTGGAAACGTTTTTGCCGAGGGATAAGACGGTTCCAGAACATTCGAGACCAAGATAAGGGGAAGCACCTTGAGGGGGAGGGTAAGAGCCTTTCCTCTGAAGAGTATCGGCTCTGTTAAGAGCGGTGGCATGGACTTGGATCAGAACCTCGTCGTCTTTGAGTTGGGGATCTTCAACGTCTTGGAGTTGCAGCACTTCAGGACCACCAGGACTCGTAATTACGATGGCCTTCATTTTCTAATTAGTTATGCTATTGCTAATGCTATTGCTATGGTTGTTGTTGCTCTCTCTCCCTCGCTCACAATAGCTACCACACGACACTTCTCTTCCGTTCTATGAGGGCAGGATAGGATCGGATCCTAGTATCCTCCAAGGCCGGCTCAATCTTCTATTATAATTACAGTTTCATTTCCTTAATATGGATTTAGTAAAACTTTAATTTTACTTAAAGATTGACATGAAAAAAATTAATATTGTTATTATTATTTTTTTCATTATTAAGATTTGCTTTTACTATAATGACTGCAAATTAAGGTATGCGATAAATTTTTTGTGTTTCTATCATTAGTCTCTCTCTCTCTCTCTCTCTCTCTCTCTCTCTCTATATATATATATATATATATATAAGAATAATATTTTATATTATTGTTCTAAATTAAAAAATTTATAAAAATATATTAATTTGAATTATATAAAAATTGATTAAAATTTGACTTTATTATTATTATTATTATTTTACATATTACAAATGTTGATTTAAATTAATTTTAATAATATAACGTAAAAAGTTGAACAATTCAAATTAATTTTAATAGTATAATGTAAATATTTTAATAACATCGGTTTAAATTAATTTTAAAAAAAATTTGATTAGCATATTTTAGAAGATTCTGACGGACATGTATTTCTAGAGTTTTTGTAGAAAAAAATACAAATCGCGTACAGTATACTGTAACACGGGTCACTTGCACATACCGAAACAATACTCCAATCAGGGGTTGGTCTCCATAAAAAAATCTAATAATAAATATATAATTTTAAAATACTAAAGAGAATAAAAATATAAAAAAGTATGGCATACTATTTTCAATTTAAATTCTTTTTCATCCATTTTTTATTTTAAATATTATTTTAAAATTTATACATTATTTATTTAAAATAAATAAAAATAACTTATATAAAAAAAAATCAACTTACTCGACAAATAACTAATATAATGATAATTAATAAATTTTTTTTTTTTAATCAGTTTAATTTAAATCTGTAAACTTAAATATGTGAATGAATTTATCACTACAAATTTACTTTGTTTAAATGATACCAATCACTTATCACTTAAACCAATCATAAAGTTTAATAATAAATATATTATTATTTTTTAAATAAGTGTGTAATATTATTTAATTTTTAACACGATTTAATCTATTAAAACATTTTGTAAAACTTTTTAATTTGAAACATATACATAATATCATATTCTTTTGATTTTATTAACGTAAAAACCCTATATACATATGCACAGACACATTGATTTACTTTTACATCAAAATACTATCTTGATAAATAAAATATTAATGATGTACATATAATTGATAACTAAGTAAAACAATTTTTCATTTACTTTTAATTTATGATAGAAAAATCAATTTTATAAACTATAAATTAATTTTTTATTTATATAAAACTTGTAAACTTCTGATTTATCCAATAAAGAGAATCAAGTATTTTTTTTTTTTTATAATACAGACTTGTAGCTTGTTGAGCAAGAGGTATTTATTAAATCAAAATTAATTTTTATAACAAATAAATATTACACACGATAAGCAACCAATACGTGATAAATTTAATTAAAATGTATTTATTTAATAATTTCGAAGCAAAGTTGCATTGACTGACTATTGATTTTAATAAAACTTTGCCATATATAAATTTTTTATTGATGCAATGTTAAAATGTTAAAAAGAACGGTTTATGAAGCCGAAATCCAGTTCTTAAATTGCTAATTTCATAGTTCACCGGTGATTTTTGCCGAATTTCATTTAGAGAATTTATAATCTAATGGTTTTTATAACTCAAGAATTCTGTCTAGAGGAAGATCTCCAAAGCTTATATAGGAGACTCATTTTCTTAAAATCGCATTCGCGGGAATATTATCAACCTAAAAAACCGCATACAATTTTTTTAATTATAAGAGGTGAGATGACAAATGGACCTTTAAGTTCATTCGTCAACTGAAATTTTAAATTTATTGTTCCCCCTGATAGACAACAAATAAGTAATTCTATCAAAACTTCCAAATAATTATGAATCGAAAGCTAGACAAAAAATGTAGCAGATTAAAAAATGGAAGTGCAAATAATTCAACACGGAAGTGCATAGTGCAAATAATGACTTCCACATACATCACTCTCTCATCACAACATTTCGTACTGTCATCAAACTTAAAACTAAACCTAAACGCCGTCTATCGTCAGAAGAAACCTGACCCAGTTTCGTTTATCTTATCTAACTTAATACTGAACAGAGATGGTAGGAACAAACAATTTTTTCATGTCGAAATCAGAATCTCCAAAAAAAGATATTGTATAAAAAACCTCAGCAACACAAAAATCTAAAACACTTGAACTACTACGAACAAGCACACAACATCGCCTTAGTCAACACAATGCACAAGGACACAGTCATGCCACACATTTCCACATCATGCATACAATCAAAACATATAACCAAATTAAGCGGCACACCCACATATATTTGCCTGAAATTAACTCAAAAGGCCAGCAATGTACGATTCAACCTTAAAAAATTCACAGGACAAGCTATGAATAGGAAATAAGGAGGATGAGAGGCCAAAAATGTTAGATAAAAACACATGCAAAATCAATGGTGAAAATTGGACTTCCATTCAGCTTGATTTCAGCAGAATTAAAATTATGAAAACGAGAATTTTCACAACATAAAACTACGCGTTCTCTCTCAAATAAACACCCAAAGGATTACAAATGCACCCATACTACCCCTGGGTAATTTATTATAAAGCTTAACAGTGCAATGTCAGATTACAAATTTTCAGCACCTGCTATATCAGCCAGGGATAACTGTAAAATTGTTAATCTCATCATCCACAGCACCATGCACAACAGTCCAAGACAACGTCAAAACACAGTTCTATTCCACAACAGAATCACATAGTTCAAGCGGTAAGCCATAGCATTCTAAGAACGTTTCACAGGTAAAATGAAAAATATTCACAATCAGCTACAGTACATCGACATTCATCATTTTTAAGATCCAAATGCATATAACTGAGCTAAAACTACTAGCATTGCAATTAATTAAATCATTAACGCGAAAAACCAGAAAAGAGATAGCACGAGAACGTTTAATTAACATTAAATCATAAGAAAACAAAAGCCTTCAAAAAGGAGAATGAATAGTAGAGATGGAAAAAGACTACAAGATCCTCAAAGATGCATAACATTAGGTTTGTATGATTAATAAAAAAAGGGCAAAAAAGGGAAAGACACTAATCAATAGTCTGCATGATGTCTTCGGGAGCGAACTTTGTTCCCTTCTCCTTGTCTGCGGCGGCGCGACCCTTGGCCTTGCGGTCGAGGAGAGACTTACGATCCTTGTCGAGTCTGAGCTTGGTTATAACCACCTTGGAGGGGTGAATGCCGACGTTGACGGTGGAGCCGTTCACCTTCTCGCGCGTGATGCGCTCGATGTGGATCACCCACTTGCGACGGTACACCTGCATCACCTTCCCCTCGCGTCCCTTGTAGGTCCCACGCACCACCTGCACCTCGTCCTCCTTACGCACCGGCATCGACCGCACGTTGTACTTCGAACGTAGGTCAGTCGAGAGAGGCGCGCTCATCAACACACGCCGCACGCTCGACGGCGCTGTGAAATGAGCCTTCCGGCTCTTGCGGCGGCTGCTCGACACTCGCGGGTTGAACTTCATCTTCTCTCACACACTTGCCGCTGCTTCTTAGGGTTCTGCTGCCTGTCTCCAATTTATCGATGCATCTTTAGGGTTGGGTTTGGCAAGGTTTTTAAGTAGGCTTACGGGCTTCTTTTTGTAATTCAGAGGTCTGTTCATAGTTTGGGCTTTTGCAATTTGAAAGGCCCATTTTGCAGAACCGCATGCTACCCTGCTTGATGACGTCTGAGTAAATTTTTAAGTCCGTCCTCAAAATTATATAAATTATGTATTTTAATTCTTAATTTTTTAAAAAAAATTATTATCTAATTTAATAAAAAAAATATTCATTTTAGTTTTTTATTATTATTTTGTATTAAAAACTTAAAATAAATATTGTTTTACAAAACACTGGACTGAAATATTTTTAAAATATTAAGGATTAAACAACAAAATCCATAAAATTTAGCTTCTTAGAGGACAATTGCTTAAGCGTTAAAGATGAATAGCTAACGATGCATCCAGGCGTATATGGACAGTGATGTGGAGACTACTACTAACCACTAACGTGTTTGCTTGCTTGTGGGTAACAGTGTACCATAAGCAAAGAATAGTATATTCAAATCTACTCAACGCTCTTAATAGAAACAATCACATTTTATTTACGTTATAATTGCACACGACATTCATAATTAAGTTGCTGCTGCATTGTATATACGGGAATATGCCCCATATTGCTTGTAGTTTAAGGTCAACTTGGACGATACATTTTGAAGGGATATTCAAGTCTTGCACTCAATGAAAACCCCTTTCCGTGTTCTTTCAAGCCAATCAAATAAATGCCTATATATATATATATATATATATATATATATATATATATATATATATATATATATATGTATATGTAAGGTCAGCGGAAAAGAAATTTTAGTGAAGAGATGGGTAAGCTTGGAGGATTGTGGGTGTCTCTCCCATTTGGATTTCTCTTGTTATTTGCTTCTGCTTTGATTGGTGCACCTGCTACCCATGCCTGGAGTAAAGAGGGTCATGTGATGACATGCCAAATTGCACAGGTAATAGAATTCACTATTAACAGTGATAAGTGCTATGTTGGAATGGTAATTATAGAAGAGTAATAAAAATATTGGGATTTGATTAGGCACTTTTAGAAGCTGAGGCATCAGAAGCAGTGTACCATTTGTTACCTGAGGATGTCAAAGGTAACTTATCAGCCTTATGCATATGGCCTGACCAAATAAGGCACTGGCACAAATATAGGTGGACAAGTCCTCTTCATTTCATTGACACGCCTGATGATGCTTGCTCTTTTCAGTATTCAAGTAAGCATTATTTATATGTACTAACTATCTTGTTATGTGATCTCATTAAACCTATAAAATATTAATGCAAATATTTGTTAGCGTAGGGGATTGCCATGACCCACATGGCTTGGAGGATATGTGTGTTGCAGGTGCTGTCAAAAATTTCACTTCCCAGCTTATGCATTACAGAGAGGGGACATCTGATCGGAGACGTAAGGGGTCAACTTTCAATCCCTTGAGATGCTTTCATCATTCTCCTTAATAGCTTTCTTCAATTTCTCTGGTTTTTATCTTACAGATAATATGACTGAGGCCTTATTGTTCCTGTCACACTTCATGGGAGATATACATCAGGTGGGTGTGAAAAGCTTTTTAAGGTTCCTTTTTTCATTTTTTTTTAATTTCACTATGTATCTAACAACATATAATAAATAATTTAAATGTAGTAATTTGAATTAAAAATATATTTTTTAATAAAAACAAATTATTATATAAAAATTTTAACACGTTGATTATTTAGTGGTCCGAAACCATCCCATGTGTCAACGATCTCGAATTATACAAATTTTTTTTCCTTTAATACACTTTAAAAAATCCATTTTCTGAATATACCTTGTTACCAATTCCGTGCACTTTGACTAAAATTTTTGGGGTTTTCTTTTTCAGCCTATGCATGTTGGATTCACCACTGACGAAGGAGGGAACACAATAGAACTACGCTGGTTTAGGCACAAATCTAATCTGCACCATGTAAGCCTCATCTTCATTAGTCGTCTACATTTTGTAGTTACAAATCACTTTAAGTGACAACTTACTCTTGTTGTCTATGGTTAGGTGTGGGACAGAGAAATCATTCTCACAGCACTGGCAGACTATTATGACAAGGATGTCAGTCTCCTCCTCCAAGACATTGAGAGGAACTACACAGATGTAAGGCTAAGTACCTGTTTAGTTTATAATTGAAAATTTATTCTTATAGTATAAAAAATATATACATTTTAATAAAATATATATATATATATATAACAACAACAATCGAAAGGCTTATCCTGCTAGGAAAAAAAAATAGTATAGTTAAACCTAAATTTGAAATATTTTAATTACAGTTAACGATTCAAATTAGCTCTGTTAAAATTATCATATCCCACTTTAAAAGAAACTGTAACTAATTTTGTCAATCTCCTAACTTTTATTAAATAGGTGGATTCTTTTATTGGTTCTAATAAAATCAACAATCCCTTGTTTCTTCTGTATAGGGAATCTGGTCAGATGATGTTTCGTCATGGAAACATTGTAATGATATCTCTCACTGTGTAAATAGGTGAGTTCTCCCTCTCTTCCATCCCACAATCTCCTTTTTCTCTGGTTGTTCATTTTCAAATTCCTCACAGTGGATGTGTTTGTTTTGGAATCATGTAGTTGGGCGAAAGAGAGCATACAAATAGCTTGCAAATGGGGTTACGAAGGAGTTGAAGCTGGAACAACTCTAGCAGGTAAGCAAAGTCACCAACCATATAATATTGAAAGGCTTGTCTTTTAAAGTAAGAACTAATTAAAATGTTTGTTTTTATGCATAATAACTAATTCATGAAATTGCACCAACCTTATCAGTTTGAGGTTTACCAAATTGCAATAAGAAATGCATGTAATATATTCACAAACATACTTTTATATTAGCTACAATTTGTTAAAAAAAATAATCATCAGGTCTCACTTTTAATTTAATAATTTTTATTTATACTTTTGTAATTTTAATATAAATTTCAACAAATCAATGAAACCATGTTAAAAAAAAAATGGGTGAGAAAGTGTGTTATTACACTCTTCCATTACAATACGTACATTGCGATATCAGCAGCCGGAGTTGTGTACTCATTAAAAGAAAAGAATTTTGAGTAGTGACTATGCACCTATGATGTATTTGCAGATGATTACTTCGAGTCAAGGATGCCATTTGTGATGAAAAGAATAGCTCAAGGGGGAATTCGATTAGCCATGATTCTAAACAAGGTGTTTAGTGACTCTGAAGAAGCACTCGCGACAGCAACCTAGACCTACAAAAGTTTAGTGGTTTAAATTTGTTAATAACCAAAGGGTCTAACTTCATTTCTTCTCATCTGTTAGTCATTATATTTTTTACTCCTACCTCCATTTGTTGTAAGAAATTTCAGCGTGTATTAGGCATTGTACAGTTCCCCAAAGCTAATCAATTACTCAAAAGTACAACTATAGATAAGCATAGCAATTAATGATATGTGATATGCTTTTTCTCAACCCTTTTTTTAATCCAAATAACATTTAATTTTTATTTTTCTTGTTTTGTTTTTTATTATTATTTTAAGGAATACAATTTTAATTGTTCGTTAGTAAATAAATAATTTTTCATTAATTAAAGTGTGAATAGTGACTCAAATTAGTATATAAATTTTTTTAGTAGCTAATGTTTATTTAAGGGATAATATTTATTAAATAAAAAGACAAATATGTAATAGATATGAAAAAAAAAAGCTGGTTAAAATTATTGAATTTCATCATAAATCGCAACTTAGTCTAAATTACAAATCATAAATAAAAATAACATCAATATTTTCTTAAAAAATACATACATATTCAATAATATATAATCTAAATTATTTTTTACATAAAGATAGAATAAAAAATATGTAAAATTAATGTTTGCGATTTATTTGAATTTCAATTTAATTTTAAATAACAGAATCAATACAAGGGTGGACATGATAGCAATAGTAAAGAAATTGACAACGGTGGCAACTAACGTTGACAACAATGATAGTCAGAGTTACAATATTCGAAATTGTCGTGACTACATTAAAGGATAGCATTAGCATTGGAATGGAAGGTAACAACTGCGATAATAATAGTGATCTAATAACAACAATTGTGATGGTCATGGTAAGGGTGAAATGAAGGTCACTGCAATAACGATAGAAATGAAGCAGGAAAAACAATGGACTATATAAGGTCAACAAATGAAGATGGTAACAAAAGTAGTGTCATTAACAATCATAAAAGCAATTATTGAGACACATAAGATTATGGTGATTTAGTGAGACAATAACTTTTTTTAACAAAAGAGTAATTGAGTAGCGTAAAAATAATCCTAAAGAAGAAAAAACAATATATATGCTATTTCTTTCAAAGTCTTCTCCTTCTTTTAAGATAAATTATCAGTCCATGAAAATAATATGCATTGATCACTAAATTGTGAATTTAAATATAATAGAATATGCTGACTTATCCTACTATATTTTCATTTTAAAAAAAAATAAAAGAAATTCTTTAATGATACATTGGTTTAGTCATTTTTCAATTTAAAAGTTGATAAAAAAATTTAAATTCAAAAAGCAGAGGTTTTATGTGTCTTTAGTTAATATTAACCAAAGCAGAGCAGTATGGGTAGGCCTGGCATGAACCATGTGTAGAGGCAGAGGCAGAACAGAAATCATGGCACATTTGAAAGAATGGCCCAGTGAATCATCTTAAACAAGCTTTTGATATCCGCAGAATGTGAATATTATTGACCTTTATTCTTTCTTGTGAATATTATTTATTGACTTGGGTCACTCTTCTTACGCACAAGTACCAGCCCTTCCCTCGCTCTGTTTTCCCGACCTCAATAGGTATTTGTACACAACAGTGGAAAGAGAAGTGCATTTTAGAAATAATATTGTATATGCTTTATTAAAAATAATATTTAAAATTTTAATTATTTTATTATATATGCTTCTTTTATAATTTCATCCCTTTATTCATAAGTATTGTACAATTCTATCTTCACTTGAAAAAAAACCCATAACAATGTATTCTACATGTTTTCACAATTTTATTAAAATTATGTTAAATTATATTTTGATATAAAAAGTATAACTTACTAGAATTTTTTAACCGTAAACGTGTTAAATTTTCTTAATTTAATTTTCTCGGTAAAGTCCATTGTGACACTTTTTATTTTATTTTATGCAATTCAAATAATTTTTTATTATTTAATGGAGCAATCATTCTACATTGGTTTATTTGGATAAGTTTCTAGATAAATCCTTAAAAAATAATATGAAAATAAATAAAACTTTTCTTCTAAATTAAAAAAATTGTCTTCTTAAATTATAAACAGTTAAATGAAAAAATTTCTAAAAGAATAAAAGAAAAGAAAGTTAATTTTGATTTATAAAAAATGTATTTTATTTTAATACTTAATATTTAACTCACATAAATACTAATTAAAAATTTTATTTAAATCAGACTATTATATTATCAATTGCTACTGTAGATGTGGCTTTTTTTTTGTTGTCAATTTAGGTTTTGAACCTACGATTTCTCACATGCTACCCATCTTTAGACAAGGTATTGTTGCTTATAAAAAAAATAATATAAAAAATAAAAAAATTGTAAGTTGAAAATAATTTTGGCCTAATTTAGATAATTTTTAGAAAGTTTTTATAGAAAAAAATTAACATAAAAAATAAATAAAAGTTCTCTCATAAATTAAAAACAACTTATCTTTTTCAATTTTTTTTAAAAAAAGTTTTATTAAACTTCTCTAAAAGTTAAGAATATAAGTTATTTTTAGCTTATAAAAAAATTATTTATTTTTAATATTAATTTTTTTCTTATAAAGACTTCTCTAACTTTATCCAAATTAAACTTTATTTTCTCAAATTTTAGATAAGATAAATTTCAAAAAATTCTAAAAAAAATTAAAAAAAAACACAAGCTAATTTTAACTTATAAAAAAGTTTAATTAATTTTAATATTTAAGCCTAGGTTGAATAAAATTTTAAAAAATTAATAAAAAATATTTTCTTAATAAGTTAAAAGAATTTATTTCTTTAAATTTAAGAGAAATTAAATGAGATGACTTCTAAAAAAAATAGAAAAACATAATTTTTTTATAAATTTATTCAAATTGAGGCTTATTGTTTGACTCATAAAAATTTCATGAAAAGTTTATTTAAATTAAATCATTTTATATTGCTACAGTATCTGTGGGTACTTTTTTTCCGGTTAACGTGAGTGTTTGTATTCCGGTAAATATCTTTATTTTAATAACTTGTAGTGATAATTAGATTATAGAAAATTACACAACGGTCAAAATGAGAATGATCAAACATAGAACACTATGATGGTACGAGTTTCATGCTTAAAGGAAATCATTTTAAAAGAAGCAACACAATAATGTTTCGTGGTATATCATACAAACAAAATCATGCTTGTTAAGGTCAAATGGTCAACATGAATCACGCGCAAAACGGAGCATATCTGACACGCGGTGGGTGGGTGTCGGTAAATTCTAGTCAAAATTCTTTATCTTACTGTCTTACTTTCACTATTCCAAGGTTTTCATCTATGAGAAACCGTTCCTCTCTCTGTCTCCCCCATCCTTTGTTTGGGAGTCTGCCACTGGGAACACTCTGCTCAACTCCTCATTGCTACGCGCCATTCCCCTGAAATTATTGTTCATTCATAGCAATCATTAAACACTCTTTGCCAGAGAATCTCATGCTTCCTTTCTCACCAATCACATTATATAAATAAACATTGCCATTTAAATTTTAATTTCGTGAGCGAACTGAATGACAGTGTATTATTCAAACGATGACTTTCTTGTGACAATTATTAACATATTTTGAAGTAAACAAATGTTTTTACTTTTATATATAAAGATTACAAAGTTTTATATGAGCAATTTGGGAAAAAAAAAATAAATTATCACAAGAAATTGTTAAACCAAAACATGAGATACGTATAATTCTTATACATCCGCATTTAACATGATTGGGTATGGGTACAAAGAAAAAGCACAAGAGAATGCATTTATGAGAGGAGAACATGCTGTAAATCAAAATCATAATGTAGACCCCACTTCTTAAACTCTACATTGATTGATTAAGGTTTTGATTTAGACGTATGAAGTAACATGAATGATGGAAGAATCCCATTCGCTAGCTACCATTCCCGCCTGCACAATGGAGTGGTAGAACACAATCACTGCCGTTGAATGGGTCCACGTGGCCCAATCACATCGAATGATCAACGGCCACATTGTTTCTTCATGCATTGCATTCCTTTCGGCTACTTTTGCATCCCCGAGAGAGAGAGAGACCCACCAACACCCACTGTGCTTGTCGCTGCGCTACAACGCTCAACGCAATCAAAATCAAAGTGAGAGAGAGACACACACAAAAAAGAAAGTAAAGAAAGTGATTAACATTGTGGTTTCTCGGACCAACGTCATTTAACTCATTTTATATAGCCGCATTTCGAGACAGACAATGGGATACACTATCAATACCCCGTTCCCAAAAGAATAAATAAATATAAAGATCATAGTGAACTCAATCACTTTGAATTTCTCACATGAATGCTGCATTCATCTTACTTTCAACTTTCAACTTCTTCTCCTTGTTGTGATCTGAGTTTCTTTGCTCTCATTCCAAGCTTCATTATTTTGGTGCCTGTATATCAAGGTATTTTTACTTTCATGGTGTTGCATGCTTTATTTGTTCTACTTCTTGTTTAAGGCATTTTGAAAATACTTGCTGCTTGTTTGTTGGTCTTTATTTTCATGTTTATACATGATACATAGAGTTTATATGAGCATATGAGCGTATATACGGAATTTTCAAGATCACATTTTAAGCATCTTCAGATGGCTTTTGTGTATCTAATCACTGAACTTGACAGTTTAGATCCGATGCACAAATCCTAAGTAAATTCTTATATTATGTTCCAAGTTTGTAGTTCAAACTATGGTAGCCTAGGAAGGTGTAATATGATATCTAATTTGATTGTGCCCGGATGCGACTTTTACCCAAAAGCCTTACACTGGGGATGAGCTCAGGAAATTGCAGTTTGGTTTTCTTATGATTTACTAAGGAGCTCTGTCGTTAGCTTATATGGTTTCGATACATTGTTGTTCTGTTTCGTGACATTTTGAGGTTTTCCTTTAATTAACTTTTGGGATGTTGTTGTTAACAGTTTGAATGCTTCCGTCTATTATGGACTGTTCTTGTTATGGTGAATTCTGATTACCGTTATTAATTTTTTCTTTGACAATATGGTCAATAAAGTATATTCCTGTTCTCTCCTTCTGCCTGCAACCGACTTTGATAACAGCACCTGTTATAGGAAGTGTAAAATAATTGGATAAAAGCATATATTGTTGTATCATAACTTGGTAATCCAAATTACCATTATGAGATTTTCTTTTCTTTTACTCCAACACAAGGCAATTTATGTCGTGTATACACCAACAAAATCACAATTCCACCTTATATACGTGTGTGTCACTTTCACTTCATTCACATTTATTAAGCACAACTAAGATACTATTCTCAAATTTAGATGATTTTTTTTGGTCAGGTTATTTTGTTAGACTCATATGATGGAGGAGAGACCAGAAACAGAACTGATATCTATACCTGCCACACCAAGAGTGTCAACACCAGAGATATTGACACCATCGGGGCAAAGGTCACCAAGACCAGCATCAAAGGAAGCAAAATCATCAAATGCATGGACCCCAACCTCCTTCATATCACCAAGGTTTCTGAGTCCAATAGGGACGCCAATGAAGAGAGTGCTCATAAACATGAAAGGTTACTTGGAGGAGGTGGGACACCTTACCAAACTCAACCCTCAAGATGCTTGGCTTCCCATCACCGAGTCTCGCAATGGAAATGCTCACTATGCTGCATTCCACAACCTCAATGCTGGGGTTGGTTTTCAGGCCCTCGTTTTGCCTGTTGCTTTTGCTTATCTTGGCTGGTATGTTTTCCTGTTCACTACGTTACATTTTTTACACCATTGGATACTCGTTCGTTATGAGTCATTGTATAGTTTAGGCCAGTGTTCTGGTTTGATTGAATTAGAAATGTTCAACTGTAATGATCAACATTTTTGCTGTGAAACATCGTATGCTTTTATGGGTTCCTTATTTTTACTATGTCTCACCTAAAAGAGTATGTGACATATGAGATATTAATATAGTTTGTAATCATTTTCCTCTATGTTTTTTTGACTTTCAAGACTAGGGGAAAATATAGTTTGTATCTTACCACTTTTTAAGTGCGTTTAATTTCAGTCAAATCAGCTTGTTGCTATCTAGCAAGATGACAGCATGAGCACGCCTTTGTAACCGAAGCTTATTCATTTTTTTTCAACATAAATGAATATCTTGTGCTGGTGCATTTCTTGGCAATAGCGCATGTGAATTCTCTTTATTTTCTCTCCTTTATTTGTGGGCAGAAACATTACTTTCATACTAATATTGTCTCCTCGTCATGTCCTCCCTAGCAGGAAAGTAAGACGATATTGTAATGCGGGGCCAGTCTTTTACAAATATCAAAGTTCATCAAACATTTTATTGCTTGAATGGAAAGAAGGGGAAGGGGGGGGGGGGGACAGGTTGCTTGTCAATTGGCACTTTATTTTTTGCCTTCCCTGATTAACACATCCTTGTCTTAGTTAACAGTTCTCATTCTGTCATATATTCTCTCTTTTTGAAGATTGATAGAGCCCCCTTTTTCTCCTAATTTCTAATACTGTTTTGGAAGCACGTTTTGTGCAAGTCCTTTGACCATGTTTCTATTCTATCCTTTTAATTCAGTAGAATACGGAATTTGCCAATTGCCAATTGAGCTGAGTAGAAAAGGTTGTATGGAATTGTGGTAGCCCACTTACAAATGCTTTATCTAAATATTTTGCAGGAGTTGGGGAATTCTTTCCTTAACCATAGCATATTGTTGGCAACTTTACACCTTATGGATTTTGGTTCAGCTACACGAAGCAGTTCCAGGTAAAAGGTACAACAGATATGTGGAGCTAGCACAAGCAGCATTTGGTAAGCTTGTTTGCCATCAATTACTTTTTTTCCTAGCTAGTTGATGTAACATTGTTATAAAAAAGCTACTTAACACTGGAAATGCTTTGAAACATATGAGATATAATTGATTAATGTGTGGCTTTAAAACTAGTGTTTTTGGATGTAAAGTCATCCTCAAAGAATTGGTGGTTACTCAAACTAAATTGAAAGAGGCTTATTACTGTCCTAAAACTAGCATTGCTTGATTTGAAAAGCATCGTATCCCTGCAATGTTTAGTTTCTAAATTATTTTGCAGGGGAAAGATTAGGAGTCTGGCTTGCTCTCTTCCCAACTGTTTATTTATCAGCAGGAACAGCAACAGCATTGATTCTTATTGGAGGGGAGACCATGAAAATGTTCTTCCAAATAGTTTGTGGTCCCACATGTACCTCAAATCCTTTAACCACAGTGGAGTGGTACTTGGTTTTCACTTCTCTATCCATTGTCCTGTCTCAGCTTCCAAACCTCAATTCAATTGCAGGGCTTTCACTCATAGGGGCGGTGACAGCCATAACTTACTCCACTATGGTTTGGGTACTCTCTGTAAGCCAACAAAGGCCACCCTCCATCTCTTATGAACCACTGTCATTGAAATCATCTTCTGCTTCTGCATTTCTTGCCATGAATGCCCTTGGAATTATAGCCTTTTCTTTTAGAGGCCACAATTTGGCTCTAGAAATTCAGGTACTTACGAGTTGCTAAGAAATTGTTCTAGTTTTGTCTTATAATTTACTATTTCTATATAGTAAGTGAAGATATGCACATTGTTTCCTTCAGGCCACAATGCCTTCAACTTTTAAGCACCCAGCTCGGGTGCCAATGTGGAAAGGAGCCAAGGTTGCTTATTTCTTCATTGCAATGTGCCTCTTCCCTATTGCTATTGGAGGCTTTTGGGCCTATGGGAACCAAGTAAGTGAACTTAAAACTAGACCGAACTCCTAATGATACTGAAGTACAACTAATATTTATATATATATCATTGCAATGTGCCTTTACATGCACCCTTTTGTATTCACCACGCATGACGCAGCATCCTTAATTTTACCTTATTTTCTTGCAGATGCCTCCTGGAGGGATTCTCACTGCTTTGTATGCATTTCACAGTCATGACATTTCAAGAGGAATTCTAGCCTTAAGTTTCCTTCTTGTTGTGTTTAACTGCTTGAGCAGTTTTCAGATATACTCAATGCCTGCTTTTGATAGTTTTGAAGCTGGTTACACCAGTAGAACAAACCGTCCCTGCTCAATATGGGTGAGATCAGGTTTTAGAGTGTTCTATGGATTTGTCTCATTCTTCATAGGTGTGGCGCTTCCATTCCTTTCAAGTCTTGCTGGTTTGCTTGGAGGACTCACTCTTCCAGTCACTTTTGCATATCCTTGCTTCATGTGGGTTCTCATAAAACAGCCAACAAAGTATAGCTTCAATTGGTATTTCAACTGGATTCTGGGATGGTTAGGGGTTGGTTTTAGCTTGGCCTTTTCCATTGGAGGTATTTGGAGCATTGTGAATGATGGGCTGAAATTGAAATTCTTCAAGCCCAATTAATTTTGAATAGGCCATGCAAATGCGCATGCTCTTTACTTCATGCGTTTGCCAATGGTATCATATTTAGTGCAAGTTTTCTGTCGTAAGCTATATCTTTCGAGTAAGAGTTGATCCTATTAATGAAGAGAATGATCCTTGTATGGCAAAGTTAACTTTGCATGTTGCTCAAGTTCAAAAAATATCTCTCCGTGACTCCACTATTCCTCTTGATGGAGTTTTCTTATCTCTCAATGCCATAACTTGTTATATTTAGAACATGTAATGATTTGCTTTTCTTCATTTTGTAGAGACCTCTAGAAAAACAAAAAAAGAAGCACTCGTCAAGTCTTTCAAGTTGTAATTTTTCAGAAGTGAAATTTTCAGCAAATCTTCGGGCAAACCCCCTCCTTTCAACCTTTGTATTGATGGCTATTATTAATTTTGTTAATGATAAGCAGATAAAATCTTCAATTAGTCTAGTGAAAGATAAAATGCTTCAAGGAAAAATGTTTACCTAAGTAGTGTACTACATTTCGCTAACGAAAACTGAGCTAAATAACTAATTCCAATATACAATCTTAAGTCGTACATTTTCGAGTTATAACCACATTGGAAGATGACACTTGTTAATTGATTTTGTATTGCAAATCTGAGAACATTATGTAATGTCACTGACTACTACTACGAGTAAATGATGTGATCATATTTCAATGTGCTCATTGTCATATAGGCAATAAAAGCAAATGCGAGAAGACATATTTCAGAGTAGTTTTTTTATGCATTTGTTTTTATTGGGGTCACGAGGGAAGCCTGGAATCTTGAGTAGATCATGATCAATGTGTCAAGTAAGAACCATGCAAATATATCATACATCACATTCAACCTAAAGTTTTAACGTATTAAATATACCGGTTCTTGAACTTTTTATATATTATTCTTTGTCGCTTGTATATTACTCCACTTGTTTATTCTTAGTTAACATTGGAATTTATTCTTAGTCATCTCTTTCTACCACCCGATGTTATAAAATCCGACTAAACCTGGCTAGTATAATTGCTGGCCTGATTATGTAACTAATCCAAATAAGGTATTGGGGATCAATTATGAAATTGAACCAATACAAACTAGGTTAAAATAATACCAGATAGTTAACTCACATAACATCAATTACTATACAATAACTATATGCTAAGTGTAATATGTATTACATGTATGTGTCTATATGTATTCGACTAATTACCTTTTAGTCTTGACCTTTCAAGATTTATCCAATTATTTCGCCTTTCAAGAACTTTAAAATAGCACACACACTTGTTTGTCCTCTCGTACTCTCATGGAATAAAATTTTGTTATTGTTTATTAATGGAGCTGTCAGCTTGTTTTTTCTCGAGTCTGTTAAGATTATTCATCAATTTATTTTGTTGGTGACATAAGGGATTACGTGATATGTGATCTATATAGGACATAACATATTGATCTGTCGATGTTTTGAATTGCTTATACATGCTTATCGTCAATGACTCTGCTTAAAGGTTATAAAATTTCAACACTGATGATATATGAGATTACGTAAAAATACAGAGGAATTATTTGCCATAAAAATACAAAGGGCCATTGTGTTGGTTGAAACTGCAAAGAATAGAACAGAGTAAAAAGGGAAGGGAGGGATGCGTGGGGGTAAAGAAACAGAGGAAGATAAAGTCAAAATCCGGAAAAAGAGAGTCAACCGGTCAATGGAAAGAAAAGGTCAATAGGGGGGCCATATGCTGCTGTCCGCCAGTGGACACATTGAAAATAATGTTTTCTGTATTACATTATTTATTTTTTAGGCTTAGTTCTACTTTTATATTTTGTAGTTTAGTTTATATTTTAGTTTTTTTTAATTGTTAATATTTATTTTTTATATTTTTAATTGTTTAAATTAATTTTTTTAACTTAAAATATAATTTAATATTTAATGAAAATATAATAAAGATGTAACATAGCATTATTTTTTATAAAATTATGAAAAATATATAAAATAATTAAATAAATTTTTTATTATATATTATCTTTATTTAAATGCTTTACATTTTATAATTTATATAAATCAAATAATATATTATATTTTTATTATTTATTCTGATTATTAGATGAGATTTTAAAGAATTTTTTTTAACAATTATAAAACTAAAAAATAAATATCAATAATTAAAATATAGAAATCAAATATAAAATTATGCCTATTTTTTATTTAGATCACTCGTATAGCGGTCATAATTCGTCAACTGCGGTTCAAAAAATTCATATAATCTACGATTCTTTTAAAGATAAATATTTTAAAATAATTTTTATGATACTTTAAAGATTAAAAAAGTATTTTCTACCTATCATACGTACAATAATTATAAATTTTTAACAGTTATATTAAATATTAGTCATTCTTAAAAAGTGATATTAGAATAATCATAATTATCAATTTAAAAAGAGTATAAAATATTTTAAATTTATATAAAAAATTAAATAATATAGTCACATATAAAATAAAAATTTTACAATAAAATATTAATATAAATAATATAATTATTTTGATTATATAAATTTATGAAAAAGTATGATTTATCTTAAACCGACGACTCGCTCCTAGTTTATTTGGTTTAAAAAGAAAATTTCATTAAAATTTTTAAAATAGTTTCATTACTGGTATCATGATTTTAGATCTAATATATAAATATTTACCAAAAAAGTCAGAACAACCTGTGGAATATTTTTAAAAAAAATACAAACTTTACACTATAATATCAACTCTTGTCACTCGTACCTAGTTTAGGAATTACTTGAATTCTCATGTAATAATATAATTCTATTAAACTTAATGAAGTTCAGACAATACAACTACTAGTACAAGACTCTAAAAATAAAATGGTGGACAAAATTTAATCTTAATCTTCTCAACAAACATAAGATAGACCAAGGGTTACAAACTCAAGCCGAGCTCCTCACCCAGATAAGAAGTTCAAAGGAATTTCTTAAAGATATCTAAATCCTCCAACAAATACAACAATATAAGAGAAAAGCAATCAAGAGTTTTTGGCACAAAAGTCTACATTAATAGCAAGTCTTCATGCAACAGGAATAGAAAAAGAGTTTAATGAAATTATGCAGTTAATGTCACTAAAAATCTCACAAGCGACCTCTAAAAAAATTAACACAAAATAATTTAAGCCCAAATTCACTAGATGACATAGAAGATTCAGGAGATAAAAATAAAGATAATTATTACAGAATTTACTTTCCATTTCATCAAAGTTAAATCAAAAGTATCAACAAAACAAAACAAAAAAGAAAAAAATAAAAAATATCTTCGTACAAAGATAAGTCTGAAAAAGAATGTCAACAAAATAAGTATAACATACAAGATTTGACTTTAAAATAATATTTCCAAAAAAAAAAAAAGACAAGGAAGAATGTCTCTAAAGTAAAAATCCCTCTATATACACATCATTATTTCAAAGAAAAAATCATCAACAAATTCATGAGCCAATAATCTTTTTATAAAACTTTTATAATTTTTCTTTCAATACTTTGTATCGGTTTATCTTATCAGTATCAATACAAGATCTATTTCTATAAATTATTTTTTAATATTTTACTTTTTGCTAATATTTTTTTAATATTATTCTTTAAAACCCAAAAATTTTTTGTGCAATTTATATATTGTAGTTATCTGTGACTGTAGGAAGATTTGAAGAAAAAGTAAAATATGTCTTCTTATTATTTGTTTTTATAAATCTTTTTAATATTTTATTAAATAAATATTAGACAAAATATAAATATATTTAATGTCTTAAAAATATAAATGCATTTAATTTTTTAATCTAACAAGCAGTGTAATTTATTTAAAGATGTTACAGTAAGATCTAGAATTATTCTCTAAAAGAAACTATTCGAAGCAACTAGCAATTATAGCAAGGTTAGGACCCGTGGATGTGGATGTGGTTAATTGAATCAGATTAAGATAAGCCTTAGAAATGATGTCATCGACGGGGCAATTGAGTCACGTGGGCAACTGGAGTTGATGAATCCCCCTCCTTAGAGCATCGTTTTTGTCGTTTAGCTAAGTCCATAACCCACCCACCACATGTCCACATCCAAATTAAAAGTGGCTCCCTGCAATGTATAGTATAATAACCTTTGCACAGAAATAAATCATTGCTATTTACCTTATTTTATCACTTCTAACACTTTTACGATAATATATTACATTCTATTCCTTCATCATTTTAACGCTTTAAGGAATTACATATACTGGGTAACTTTCTTCTTGCCTCGAGGCTAAGCTGGCCTTCAAAAGCTCTTATGACAGATGTTTCAGAGGAACAATGCATTTTAAGCATTGAAGACTTGCTAAATACAAATACATCTCATAAAATTGGGTATCCTCTTTTGGATCCCAAATCTTTTCAATCGATTTTGAAAGGGAAAAAACATAAATTTTAGAGGTATAATTGAAGGCAACATAAAAGGAAAGAATCGCCACTATCTCATAATAGAAGACCAACATGGTTAATTCCTCAATCATCGTTAGTCAAGTGTAGAGCGTTAAACAGTTGCTCGATTCATTCAAATTAAGGCTTCCCATTAACGGACACCAATCGTAGTTAAATAAAATTCCGATCACAAAATGTTTCACGTGGTGAGTTTATATATCCAGCGAAGCATATCCATTCATTTTGCAAATTCAGTGAAAAAGCAGCAGCAGCAGTTGTATTCACTAGCAAGTGGCAGGAAGAGCAATAAAACAGAGAATTGGCAGACTCAGAAAAGAAGAAAAATTTGTACAAAACTGAAAAAAGGGCAAAAATTGTGTGGAGATGGTTTGGTCCTCTTAGTGGGTAAGTTGAGGAGGTGCAACGCATGCTGTGGTGCGTGAAAAGATGCCAACCACCGAATTGGCCAAACCCAACACAATTGCAACCTTCACTTGTCCCCGCTTTGGAATCGGACGCCTAGAGAGCCTCCCAGGAAAGCTTTTTCCATTG